GAGAGGGAGAATGTAAACCTCCGAAGCACGCTTCTTCTATTAATTCTCTTAAAAAAAGAGGGTGCTTTGTGGCAACCCTTCACTCTACAGCGCCGAAAACCTCTCGAAACGCTCAGAAATCACTCTAAAGACACTCAGAAGCTCCGGAAATGCGTCGGAGGGATTCTAGAGAGAGAAATCCTAGAGAGAAGGAGGAGAGAATGTTGTGTAGTGTGTGGAAATGAGGGGAGGGAGCCCCTATTTATAGGTTTTCACGCCTGACAGTGGCGAGACCGCCGTTCTCGTTTGACAGGGTCAAGACTGCTGTCTCGCCAAACGAGACCACCGTCTCGCCATGCCAAAGTGGCGAGAACGCCGTCTGGGAAAGCGAGACCGCCGTCTCGCCATTCGCAGGTGGCGAGACCACCGTCTCGCCAAACGAGACGGCGGTCTCGCCATTTGCATGAGGCGAGACAATGATCTCGATTTTGAGATGGCGGTCTCATCCCAAAAAGGCGAGAAACCTTATTTTTGTGCCGAAAATCCTTCCTATCCTAGTATGGGGCCTAATAGTCTCTCCTAGTGGCTTGTTAGGCTTCGTCCATCTTCGAAATAGGAGGTCTTCTACTCTTTATTTGCAGGCCGGGCAAGATTTGGGGTCTACATTTAGATTCTTCCAAACATTCCTTCTGATTCTGAAAAGTAGTTGATCCTAGTAATTTTAACTGATACATTTTATTAGTTAAAATGTCATCATCTGCATTGTTCTTGGGGTTTTCCTGAATTTCTAGGTTAGTTTCATAAAAAGCAACATGAATTGATTCTTCTACTGTTTTTAACCTTTTATTAAAAACTCTATAAGCATGGTTATTTAATGAGTAACCCAAGAATATTCCTTCATCTGATTTGGAATCAAACTTTTGTTGAACATACAAGGATATGAATGTTGAATATAAAAGGATATGAAGCTTGTAGATTTTGATGATGATTCAAGAATAAAGGTCTTAAAGATTTGAAGACTTGCAATGTTATGTAATAACTCTGTTTTTATGTTTTTGAGTATGTAATATTAGAGTCCAAGATAGCTAGCACATAGACCACTCTTTAAAAGCTCTAAAAACTCATTTTTATCAAAAATACACTAGATTAATCGATTAAATGGAAGGATAATCGATTATCACATAAAGAAAACCATTTTCAGCATTTGCTCTCTGGAATAATCGATTAAATGGCCTGTTAATCGATTAATTGGGCTATTAATCGATTAAATGGCCTATTAATCGATTAACTGGTGCTGTTTTGGCTCCTCTGCGAGAATGACTATGGAATAATCGATTAACACTCAAGATAATCGATTATTTGGGTCTAATATGCATTTTGAAATTCAAAATTGGACCAAGTTTCGAAAACCCTATTCCCAATTCATCTATTTTCAAAAATCCCCAATTCCCAAACCCTAATCTCTCTACTTAAGGTTCTCTAAGGCTCTCTGCAAATTGAACAACCTTTTTCAAACAAAAGTTAAGAGTTGTGACTGCCAGAGAACTGTTTATCGGGAGGAAAAAGGGGCTTTTGAAACCTAGTGTGGGCTAGAAGCGATAAGAATCACTGAGTGGGTTTTCTTGGTGGATTGTGTGCTGTGCCATCTCTAGGGAAAACTGTTATTCATCCTTTGTTGATTCAAAGGAGGTGTTCATCTATTGTGTGACTCAAGAGAGGTGTATTGTTTACCTTATCTTTTCATTTGTTATCTGTTTGTAAAACTGTGATTATAGTGACAACGTTAATCCTCTGTTTGAGTGATTAGAAACTGGATGTAGGGTCTTTTGATCCGAACCAGTATAAATTAACTGTGTAATCTTCTCTCCCTTCTCTATTTACTTTACACAACATTTTAATCGGTGAAATTTGGGAAAAATTTTAAAACCCTAATTTTTGTTTAAGAAACCAATTCACCCCCCCTCTTGGTTTTTGTCCGTTAACGCAAACATTCCGCTGCGCGATTCTAACAAGTGGTATCAGAGCTTGCTTTGATAGTCATTCAATTTTCGAAGATGGCCAGGCAAAATCAAACGTTTGTCGAGGGTGCTTCTATCAATAGACCCCCACTCTTTGCGGGGCAAAATTATCCTTTTTGGAAAGTTAGAATGCAAATATTTTTGGAGTCTGTTGATAGAGGTGTTTGGGACGCAATTTTAAATGGAACTTTTATTCCTAAAATTACTGAAAACGGAGAAGAGGTACCAAAACCATTTTCTAGATGGTCGGCTGAAGAAAATAGGAAATCCCAATATGATGTTAGGGCTAGAAATATAATTTCATCTGCTTTAACCCTTGATGAGTTTTACAGGATCTCTGTTTGTAAGAGTGCTCAAGAAATGTGGGAAATGTTAAGAGCAACCCACGAAGGTACCGACGATGTAAAAAGAGCATGAAAGAATTCATTGATCCAAGAATATGAGATGTTCTAGATGCAACAAGGGGAAACGATCTTTGACGTTCAAAAGCGTTTCACACATATTGTGAATGTCGCCGCCGTCAAAAATGCGGGCAGTCGGAGCGACGCGATGGTTTTTCGACTTTCCGTTTTTCGCGTTTTTATTGGTGGTTACAACGCCTTTAGGTTATCCGATAACCGGGTTGAACCTAGGGGCGAGGTTTTCGAAAGGGCGCTCTTGGATTGTCCGATAACCGGGCTAATCCAAGAGCTAGTTTTGAAGGGTTCTCTGGAGTCGCCACCGATGCTTTTACCGGAAACATCGTAAAAGGAGTTAAAAAGGCATTGGTTTTCAAAAAAAAAAAACCAACTTTGGTCATTAGAACCAGAGTTGGGTAAGGGAGTTAGTTACGTGTAAAGGAAGTGTTAGTTCCTTTACGATGCCCCTTTCGGGTTCCCTATGATAGGCTAGCTACTTTGGTCGTCCGGTTTATGCCGGAGATTTTGTTGGTGTTCATCCGGCTTGTTGATTGCCAGGGATTCTTTGTTTGTGTTCGACTTTTTGGTTGGTCATCGAAGCTCGGTTTAAGGTGGTTGACTTTGTTTTCAATCCTGCCTTTTTCTCGCAGTTTTATCTCTTTTTTCTCGCGATTTTGGATTTTGGATTTTTTTCTTTTATCGTAAGTCTTTTTATTTTTAGACTCTTTTGGTTACGCTGACTCTTTGAAAGGGATAAAAATATGCGTGAAATAAGATTTTATTTATAAAAATTTATTACAGCAGCCTTATTCTATGAGTACTATCCCTAAGGGTTATCTTCTGGAGACAATCCATGATAGGGGAATTGCTGGTACATATGCTCCCGGAATTCTTCTTGCTCCCGGGCTTCGTCGTTGTATCTTTGCTGGAATGTTGTCCAGTCTTGCCGCATTCCCTGTTGATACTGGTACATCGTCTCCAGCCGGGTGTCAAAGGCTTCCTGCCTTTGGGAAAATTGCTCCTGCCGCACAGACATTTGATCGAATTGCTGACGCAGATCGTAGATGTTGCGGTTTACGCTAGCAAAGTCATCTGTGTACTGGGGGGTTTGTTGGTGCTGATGTGGCTGCTGGAAGTTGGGAGGCGTTGGGAGATCGTGCATCGCCACGATGTCCTAGAGGTACAGCGCAAAATCCAGCGCGGGATGAAGGGCCAACTGTGTCCCGTGGCGTATCAGCATCCCCATGCTGTCCAGGATCGACCCGCTGATGGTTTCGGGTCGAAGGCTGGGGGCCAACTCTTCCTGGCCGGCGCATCCCCATTTCTCTGCCAGGGGAGTGATAAGAGGAGCCATGAGGACGACTCCTGCTGGTCTGCTCCCGAAGTCCTTGAGGGCCCTCAGGAAGAAGTAGTCAGGGTTGCAGCGTCGCCTCTGGCTCATGCAGTAAAGCATGAAGAGGTCTGGGAGGGTTACCTTGCCCTGACTCTCCTTCCTCCCGTGGACAGTCCCAGCCAGCAGCTTGTGGCAAATGCGGAGGGCTGGGGGGAGTGCCGACCCCTTCATCAGCGTGGGCAGCGTGGGCGACCTGGTGAGTTCCTCCCACATTTCGCCGGCGGTGAGGTTGGTGGGGCGGCTGCAGATGGCCTCCCGGTACTCCCGAGTTAGCACATCCTCAGGCCGGACAAACCCAATGCTCACATTGAATTCGTCGAGGGTGGTAGTCCGGTATGTCCCACCCATGAAGTAGTTCACCATCTTGGTTGGTGGCACGCCCGGGACCATGGAGGGAGCCTCGGCGTAGGAGATGGAGGCCAAGAACTCCAGTACCGCTTGAGGGTACACGTGGGTAGGTGGAGGCTGCAGCAGGAAGCCCCACCTAATGTTGTGTATGTGGGCCCGGACATCGTCCTCCCACCCGAACTTTGGGCTAAAATGAGACGACCGTCTCGCCAAGTGGGACGGCGGTCTCGTTTTCTGCCGAGTCGAGACGGTGGTCTCGTTGGCCGAGACGGTGGTCCTGATTTTCTGGAGACCGAGATGGCGGTCTGGGAAGTCCGGACGGCCGTCTCGAATTTCGGGGTTTTTTTTTTTTTTTTTTTTTTTAGTATAAAGCAAATAGGACCTGGTTCAAAAACATTTTATGCATGCAATGTTTTCATGTTTGATGTCCTATAATGCCTATTTCAATTGATTTTTTCAGAAGGATTTCACTGACGTGTCTTGTAGCGTCGAATGCCCTCTGATTTGTGCTCTTGTGTTTGGTTGTACCTTGCCGGATTTCTTATGACCGAATGATAGCTTGTTTTTCCTTTTCTTCTTTTTGTGTAGCACTCTTTGCCATGTAGTGGGACGGCGGTCTCGTTTTCTGCCGAGTCGAGACGGTGGTCTCGTTGGCCGAGACGGTGGTCCCGATTTTCTGGAGACCGAGACGGCGGTCTGGGAAGTCCGGACGGCCGTCTCGAATTTCGGGGTTTTTTTTTTTTTTTTTTTTTAGTATAAAGCAAATAGGACCTGGTTCAAAAACATTTTATGCATGCAATGTTTTCATGTTTGATGTCCTATAATGCCTATTTCAATTGATTTTTTCAGAAGGATTTCACTGACGTGTCTTGTAGCGTCGAATGCCCTCTGATCTGTGCTCTTGTGTTTGGTTGTACCTTGCCGGATTTCTTATGACCGAATGATAGCTTGTTTTTCCTTTTCTTCTTTTTGTGGAGCACTCTTTGCCATGTAGTGTCCCTCTTTCTCCACTCTAGGGATTTCAATCCTCTTGTTGACAATACGCCTCCATATTCCCAAATTAATTAATAGAATATTGTTGTGAGGGTCAAGAGAAGAGAAGTAAAGAGATAAATTCAATGGCTTGTGTTTTAGAATGTTGATCTTATTTTGAAAGAATGGTTAGCTAGGGTTAGGCTTGGGTGTTTAAGCTTTCTGTCTAAGCAAACGTTTTTCCCTTTTTTTTTGTACTTGCGCTTTAGCTTTATTTCCTTTGCTTTTCTTATGGCTAGTTGATTTCCCTAGATCGCCCTTTGGGTTTTCGAACTAGGATATTGTGCTTTGGCCCTATCTTTTGCCTAGGTTCTCTCTTTTTGGATTTTTAGGGAATCCTAGCGGACCTTATTTTGTAACCCTAACTTTTGCCTAGGCTACCCTTTTATTTTTGTTCGGGTATCCTACCGGGTTGACCCTATTTTTTGCGTAGCCCCCTTGGTGGGTTTCCTACCGGGTATTTTGCCCTTCTTTTTTTTGGCCTTTGGCTTCTATGGGCTTTTTCTTTCTTGTATCTATTTCTTGTTCACAATATTGGCGAAGCATGACTTTCTTTATGGCGAGGTGAAGTCTTATTTGGTTCTTCTAATCAACTAGTTTGACCGTAATGGCAATGGTGAATTTTTGGTTGTGCTTCTTATTCCCTTTTTTTTCTTTTTCGTTTACTTAAACAGGGTTATTTTGTTAGGTCTAGTCAAAAAATAGCGAGAAAAGAAGCAGATTGTAAGAAGTATTCTTTATTAATTAATAAGGGAATATGTGCCCTAAAATGCCCGGGGGTCGGGCTAGCCCCGGGGGATAATCTCTAACAATCATGGGGTTTACATCCCTTAAATGAAGAAAAAGATTTCCTAATGACTAGGGTAGCTCTTGACGCTTGCACCCCTCCATTTCAGAAAATTTGCTTGAGTGTGCGGAGGGGAGACTTCCCTTTCCCTATTTCTGCTCGGCCCTTAGTAGGGTCATATCCTAGGCCATGCTTGAAAGGATTGTCTCTGAATTCTTGGGGTTCCCTCATACCTTGGGAATCTGCCCCCAATCCTTGGCCAGGATGGTAGCCATGCTTCATCATCATGCGAGCTATTTTTGTGTTTCTGGGAAGCCTTTCTATACTGGCGATTTCTAGTGCTTGAAAAGATGTTTCAAGGGCCTCTTCAGCCGCATCCACATAAGGTTGGGTGGACGGTCCACTGATCAGGATATCGTCTTCTGCTTGGACTGTGACCAATTTGTCATCCACTATGAACTTGACTTTCTGGTGGAGCGTCGAAGGTACTGCCTTAGCGTCATGAATCCAAGGCCTGCCGAGGAGACAACTGTATGCTGGAGTAATGTCCATTACATGGAAATCGACGTTGAAGATAGTGGGTCCAACTTGGATTGGCAAATTAACTTCTCCCACTACTTCTCGTTTTGATCCGTCGAAGGCTCGAACTATGGTGCTGCTTGGGCGCAGATGGGTTCCTTGGATAGTCAATTTGTCTAGTGTGCACTTGGGCATCACGTTCAAGGATGACCCGTTATCCACAAGAACTTTGGCGATGAGGTATTCCTTGCATTTGATCGAGATGTGCAAGGGCTTGTTGTGGTTTGATCCCTCAAGGGGGAGTTCTTCCTCTGTGAAGGTGAGGTGATCGCTTGTCATGATGTGACCGACGATTCTCTCAACTTTTTCTTGGGATATGGAGTGAGGTACGTGCGCCTCACTCAAGACCTTCAGCAGGGCGTTTCTGTGCGGTTCTGAGCTCATTATTAGAGATAACAGCGTTATCTTCGCAGGTGTGCGGTTGAGCTGGTCTATAATGGAATACTCGCTTTGCCTTATAAACTGGAGTAATTCCTCTGTCTCCTCCTTGGATTCCTTATTTTCTTTTTCCTCTTCGGCCTTTTTATTTTTTCCTTTATTTTTGGGGACCTCTTCTTGCAAGTCCTTGGGGGAATACATTCTTCCACTTCTTGTCATGCCCCAAATACCGGCTATATTCATGATATCCTCTTTTATTGGTGAAGATTCCCCATATTTCCATGGTACAACTTTATTTGATTCGTAGGGGAAAGGACGTGGCATAAAAAGTCGCACTGGTGTCCTTGCCCCCTCTTCTTTATTTTTGAGGACCAACGGTCGAGGCTTATTTTCCTCTTGTGATGAGCTGACCGTTGGTGAGAGCTTGATTAGGAGCGGCTTTCTCTCCATTCTTCTGATTTGGAAGACATGTCAGTTTAATCCTTCCTTTTTATTATCTTATTTATTAAGTGTGAAGGAGGGGAAATTAAATATGTAGATGAATGGTATGCATGCAAGTAGACAATTGTTGAATAAAAGAAAAATTTCATTCATTCATTTAGAAGGTGTACATTCCCCTACTCCATACTACGAAGCAACTTTTGGCAAAAACGGAAAAGCCTAAAGAAACCCACAGGCGGGTCTTGATCTCTATGCAATTCTCTTTCGGCTTCCCGGACGTGACGAGCGAGTGCTTCACTTTGCTTCTGGACTGCCTGGCTTATATCTTCACTATACTTTTGAGCATCTTTGATTTTCTCCTCTTGATGGATGACCAAGGCTTGTAGGTCATCGAGTTTTGCAAGAGCTCGGTCTTTTTCTTGAAGTACTTGGCCATACTGAGCTAGCCCGTCTCTTTCTTTGCAGCGTAGCTCAACGAGACTTTTGTTGAGTCTCTGATTGGCTTCCCGCTCTTGGCGTATCTCTGACCGAGTCTTGGTAAGTTCTTGCAGCAACTCCTTGATCATCTGGGCCTGCTCTGCTGATTCGGCCTCAAGGCGTGCTGACTTGGCCGTTATTTCTTGTAGTTGGCTATCCGAGCCAGTTCTGGCAGCTTTGGATGCTCGGATAGCTTGCTCATTAGATTCAGCACACTGGTCCTTGAGGTGCTCTATTTCATGATCCTTTTTCTTGCATTGCCTCTGTAGACCATCAATGGTGAGGATAGATTCTTGCTCTCTCTCTTCAAGGGCCCTCATCTGGGCTCCCATGATTTCTATCCTCTGGGTCAAGGCGTCGACTTGAGCCTGCAGCTCTTCACTATTGGCGCTCGTAATGAGTGAGGTGGATGGTTGAGACACCCCTCTTCTTCTTCTCCATGCTTCATAGTCACTGGAGGTAGTCACTCGAGCTTTTCCTAGCTCTCTATCTCCCATATAGACTGGTCTCTCCCATGCTTTTCTCACGGCTGGTGAGTTGGTGATTGTGCATGGGTCTCCAAAGAAACACAGTCCTCCGAGTTCCCCTCGAGAAATGATAGTTTGGGTTCTCATGAGTTGCCTCATAGCTACTCTAGGTGAGTACGCTATGCAACCCCTGAGTCCTATCAAGGGTACGTTCGGATAGTCTCCACATCTGATGAGGACTGGACCGGGTCGGAACCATGGGCAGACCCAGGATATACTGTTGGCATCCAGTCATTCCAACTCGTCCCTCCACTGTGAAGTTAAGCGTCTTTGGAGAGGGATTTTGGAGAAGCTTCTCAAAGGATCGGGGAACATCCCCATGTGACTAGAGGCGTAAAAGTGTGTAATGCCCCACACGAAAAGTAGCGAAGAGCAGCAACGAAGTGTTTTTCCTTGCTTCTGATGGCAGAAATCCACCGAGAGCAAGGTGTCGACAAGAATTGCAGGCAAGGGACTCTTCGAGTTCACGTCCTAGGCGAAGAAGGTGTCCATGACGGCTTGATCCACTGTGTCGAGGTGGAAGGGAAACAAGATCGTTCCAAATATTATTAGGGCCAGGGTTTTGTTGAAAGCGACCCATTTTGTCCTTTCAGCCAAGTCGGACAGGTGGTCTTCTAACATTGAGACCTTCCAACCCTGGACATTCCCTTTTCCTATCAGGGTAGCCTGCCGGAATGGAAGTTGAATGGTGGCAGCGACTTGTGCTGCAGGAGTATATGCCCCATGGCAGATATGGACCCCGGCTGATTTGGGCCATTTTAGCATGATTTCGTACTCCTCTAAGGTGGGCACCATATCAAACTGCGGAAACTCGAAGCAGCGCAGACTGGAGTTCCAAAAATGAACTAATACCCTGACGAAGACTTGGTCGACACAGATCTTCAGCAGGTCGAGAATCCGTCCATAGGATTTCTCAAAGTCGAAGCGGACCTCTGGTGGCATTATCGCGCTTAGCTGTTCCAATTTCTCAGTATGGTATCAGGGAATATCCACCTTCTTCAACTGTCTACTAGTCTCCTCCATTTTCTAAAACCAAAATGCATGTTTTATGAAAATGATGCTTATTAAATGAATGCGAGTGTTTATTTTTATTTATCATGTTTTGTATGATGCATTTTTATTTTTGAAGAAATAAACTACTTATATGGGGATAATGCTTTTGAACTAGGTCCCATTTATTTTTAAAATTGGATTTTTATTTGATTTTATTCCTATTTCATTTTATAGCCTTTTATCTCTTCTGTCGGAACTGCGTGGCTACTTAGCTTACAAAGAACCTAAAACCAGGCTAGCTAAAAGGCAGACTGTCCGAGATAAAAATATGGCTTTATGCGAAAGAATAATTAACATCCCTTATCTCTTCTGTCGTACTGCGTGGCTACTTAGCTTACAAAGAACCTGAAACTAGGATAGCTAAAAGGCAGACTGTCCGAGATAAGGGTGTTTATTGCAGAAAATATTTTTTTTTTATGATTTATTCTGTTGTTTGGTTATGCTATGCAACATACAAATGCAACAAACATATGCACACACAATTCGAACATCCCCGAACGGGCGAGAAGTCGTTTTAATCACGAGGTAGGGTTTTCCTACAGAAAATTGCATTGGTGAAGGTAGGTTCTAGCTGTTCTCACCAAGGCTAAGGACCCCAAGGTGCCCCCATTATAGGTTCCCCACTCTCCAGCCTTCCGACCATGCTTAGCACTAAGGCCATAGTCAGTCTTTGTGCCAAAAGAGGAAGGTTATCACCTTGAGTGGTGGTTTCCGATCACACCGGTGGGCACAAGGCCATCACTACAGGGAACCGTACCTGCCACCCACTCC